TACAACACATATTAAAAGATTATTATATATTCCAATGTCAGATGTTTTTTTCTTCTATTTTACATTAGAAAAAATATCCCTACAACGTTTATCAAAATACTTGGACAAGAGGAATGGATTATAGTAAGCGCTACTACAGCTTTACGAAGGATATCGATCTTCTTAAGCCATTTTCAGACACCAAGCATGATTGACAAATAGTAAACCCGATCTTTATAGCGGCCCTTTAAAGACAGCTGCGTTGACGAAGTTTGGGTTTCTTCAACGTGAAAGAGCAAGGTGACGCGAACATGGCACGACTTAAGGACGATTAATAGGGCCGCGTGATTAATAGCGGGGTGTACTTTTGGCTGTAACGAGCAGCGAGGGGTCGGTTCGCGTTCCTGTGTAAGGCAAACAAATCCTCCGAGCGATTTGCACGCGAAGTATTCCGGTGCGCGAAAAGGTTTTAGAGCGAAGATGCGAGAGACAAACGCGCTTCGCAACGATACCGTATATCCTCGCAGACAACGAGTAACGGGAAGCTCGTCGAAGAGGAATTCGCAATCGACACAGGGTAGCATCGCCGCGCGAGAGCTCTGTTAATTTAACTAAAACATTTCCCGACGTCTTTTCGCCTGGCGGGGCAACGAAATTCCACGCGGAAAATTCTGCGACGGGAGACAGCAGCTCCTCCTTCCTATTTGCAGGGGATTCTGTTGTCGTCGTCGTCGTCGTCGTCGTCGTCGTCGTCGTCGTCGTTCTCGTTCTCCGTACCGTGTCTCACAAAGTAGCGGAGTATCGAATTCCGCTACTTTGCGACAAGAAGCGGACGCAGTCGGACACTTTCGAGATTCCAATATATTGGCTACTTCGACGACAATCTTGAAGATCTTCATTGTGAACATGGCTCCGCACTTGTTTTAATCGGACATAAAAGGAGTTTGCCGCGAGTTCGTCGTCTCTGCTATTGACCGACGAAATTCGACATTCCGTGAATTGCTCGCTTTAGCGATATTGATTTCAAAGCAGATGACTTTACTGTTTAGTCAATTTTATCATAAATTTTATATTTCAAGAGTTGATAAACTGAATTGACAAGATAATGCTCAAATTATGTTAAATTCTCCTCAAGTTACTTTGTAACAAAATTACTTGACTTTAATATGCATATTGCAATGGTCTTTCAGTGGACAATTTCATCTAACTATAAATTGCGAATTTATAAACAGAAAGCTCTAAGAAATAAAATCAAATATATTATTCAAAAATCAAATATAGGTATGCGTTACTGAACGCTGAATAGAAGTAATAAATAAATTTTAAAAGCCATTTTTAAACGAGTGAGATTAAGTGTAGGAAAGTCTTTTAGTCGTCAAACACTTTCATTCCATTCGATAGAACACTATGAAAATAGCAACTACGAAGTAAGAGCAAGTTGGAAAAAAGTGAAAGAACTTGGAGAAACTTTCACTTTGGTATTTTTAATGTACAATTTTGCCTGTTTATTTTTAGACTACAATCAAACTTTGAATTTTTACCACTCGAAATAAATATTTACGCAGGAGATAAAAAGTATAATAGTTATAACAGTATATAACAATGAAGAATACAATTAAAATCCCAATCACCGTGTTTATACACGTTAAATCACTTAATTAATGAAGAATAAAATGTAAAAAGTGATGTGCTTTTAATTACGTTACACTGTATTATGCTTCTCGCATTTTACTTTAATTAAAAATATTTTATCGCATGACGAAGTTATATCAAAACTGATTTTGCAGGAAGCGCATAAAATTAAGCGGGAAACGGATTATAGTATCGCAATTATCAATGGAACGCTCGAAGCAATTTTTTTTTCATGACGTGACATTACGAGTATCTCTGTGAGTAATTTAAAGTTTAAATTTATTCTAGCGTAAATCAAACATATTCCACAGGTACCCTTTGTTAATTTTTAGTAGAGCTTATGCCGAGAGCTCGGCTCCGCGGCTTAATTAATATAGAATTTCTGGAAATTTCAGCATTTTATTTCCACCGGCGAGATAAAGCGCCTCGATGTATTGTAAAATTTACTCTCCGCCTCCTTGTTTGACCAGCGCCAGACGAGCAAGCTCGCCATGTCGAGCATATTATTCCCGGCGCGCATTTTACTTAAGTAGTATAATTTAAATTAATAAAAAGTAAACCGACAGTGCTCGTCGTTTCGAGATGAGATTTTATAGTATGTCTGACACCATTTAGTTAAACTGGTAGACATTCAAAAAAGGATAAGAGTTCCATTTTACAGTATCATAAATAAAATTGATTGTGCTTAGCGAAGTAAACCATGAAGAAATAGCTCATAAGTGTCGTTTAATGCGACACTCATGAGCTAGAAGTTAACTAGAAAGCGATAATTAGTTCGTTTTATTGTGAAATTGAAACTACGTTGACAGAGATTTCGAATCTAAAATGCGGTGCATTAAACAAACGGCCCGCGAGCGGGACATTAATTCACCATTACGTCATGGTAATCAAGTTAAATTTTCACAATGGGGAACGAATTTCATCCCAGTTGTACTGGCTGCCGCCATCAATTTTGCAGGTGCGCATGACGTTTACAATTCGCCCACATTAATTATTCCGAAAGTTCTCAGAATCCCAACGTTTCGCGCCTTCCGACTCGGATAGTGCATCGCGTACATTTTACATATAGATCTACTTATCTGCAGGAGATTTCTAAAGTCTGCTTCGTCAAGGAAATTCGATTCAATCGTTAAAAATTGCCAAAAGTACAAAATAAAATACATTTGATAACTATTTATTTTTTACATATATGATATATCAAATTTTTTAAAAGTAGATTACGCTAGACGCAACTCTCCGTATTGTCAGAAATAATTTCGTACTACAAATAAATCGTATCATAATAATTAAATATTTCAAAACTTGTGCCACTTCAATTAAAACTTCTATTATACTTCAATTAAAAAAATTAATATTGTAACAAATTGTCCATTATATTCACACGTGAGAGCAAAATTTTAATATAAAAATATTTATCACATTCCTGTTTTAATTTCTTAATTGTAAAATGATGGCACAAAGACACATCGCGTCTGTTTCTTCGTTATTTCGAAGTGTGTTTAATGTTTTTCGCTTTTGTGCTTCGCGGTACAAATGTATTGTATTATAATTACGCTTGGCAATCTCTACGGCAAACTTCCGTTGTCTTGCACATGTAGAAATCGATATACGTCTAGACATGTATGTACCAGATAATCGCGTAACCGCCTGACACCCGACCCGCACCAACCGCAAACTTGAAGTCATCCGTACGATGAAAGTAATTGCGCAAACTTTCGCCGGTGCGGATGACGTTTAGCGAGCGTTAAGGCTCGTTATTAGCGAACACGTGCATATTTCAGTGGCAGCCGCGCTGCCAGCGCGCCTGGATTTGGACGTGAGGATGTAAATGAATTTCGCGGGGGTTGCTTTCTCCCTCTTCGATCGATTACCGAGGCAGAGCCATCGTGTGGCAGTGACCAATTTAACTAAACGTCAACCGTTGTATGTATACTCGCTCTTCCATTAGTCTCCTTATCTGATGTAATTGTATGTAGAAATGTATATAGGAAAACAAAGTTTCAGATTTCCATTATCATAGTTTTGCACGATCGCAGAATAATTTTGTTTCGAAATATTTCCTTCAATATTTCTCTTTTTGAGTTACAGCTAAACTTGTTAAAAATGATAAGCCCTAAAAAGTTACCATCCATCTCTATTTATTTATTTAATTACTGTATATATTTATACTGCTTTTTGTGTATTTATGAATTTGAAAAATTTGATAAATAACATTTGGCGAATGTTGAATAACGATTTTATTATATAATCAGGTAGAATTATTATTACGTACTTTACTTGGTTTCGAATACATTTAAATTCTAAAAAATCTATATTATTCAGAAGAAAGTAAATTGTGCACATCCTCATACAAAATGGTATCAATAATAGCATTCGCACAATAACGTCAAATACATTGAAAATTCGATTAAATCCAATATGTTGATGGATTGGTTTAATCGAAATATGCCGAAAATATGATTTCGAGCGGATTAATCCAATGAATTTATTGGCATAATTCAACTTCAAGAATTGTTTTCAAAAATGAGATGGTATTTCGATTATTCGTTAATCAAGTATTGTAGTATTCTATAATGCATCTTCTATATATATCATTTATACATATCTTCTTTATGATATACTCTCCATTATTTTATCGTAATTATCATATTGCGTAATAATTAGTTGCGAAAATTAAAGCTAATAATGCACGAAATCTGTTCATACGCTTCGTGAAGAATGAAATATATTCTGTTTTCGAGTAATTCTCTCGTGACATCGCAGGGGCCGAACGTATCTGAAATTAATCTCGGTCTGCGATCATGTCTCCACGTTTTATCGTTCTTCCTATCGCCATAAATGCGTCCATTTTCCCTGATTTTCGCTCTTTTTCTATAAGTATTCGCATTTGTCATTCCAACATGTCGTCTCGCTAAACTTCGAAAGCGTCAACGATCGTGAGAGCGCACACTACATGAACGCATAAACGCAATTTTCACGCTTTACCCTAATTGTTATATAAATGTCAAACAATCGACAGATTCGTAGATAAGAAAACAAGAATACATTTTTCCGTATCAAATTAGTCGCAAAAAATGAGAGAAACTGAAAGATAATCATAAATGGACATATGCAAAAAATTGTTATATAAAACAAGAATAATATAATATTGGACTACATTTCGCCGTAATTGAAGATTTCAATAAATTTCAACTAATAGAAAAAAAGCAAATTATTGTTCGTATTTAATGTTGAAAAATCGTTTCCTATCTCGTTTCTTGTATATAAAGAATTATATTACACAAACGCGTTTTCGCTCGTTCTCTCATTAATTGCAAAATCTTGTTATTGTAAAAAGACTTCCAACATACATTACAAATGAATTGGAAACATTATTAAATCTTACTTACCTCTATGGCTGCCGGTGATTTTATCCCGCAGAATATTTATCTGATGCACTCGACCGTATTCTTCAAACATCGTCCTTAGGTCATTCTCGTCCATGTCGTGAGGTACCTGCCCCACGAACATCTTTATGTTGTCCGGATCCGGCTGCTCCACACTGTTGTTGTTCATTATGCTGTAACGTGAAAAGGAAGTTTATGCTGTGTATGCAGCGTATTAAACATGCGTGCCTGGAGAAAAACAACATGCCGTTATTAATATGTTAACAGGTCAAAGACTCCTGTGCACTTTATCAGTTCAGATTTATCGTAGCCGGGTGATAACAAGTAATTTGTCGACGATGTTTTTAAATATAAATAATATTGCAGAAAATATTTGGAGCAATCTTTTGCAATTTAACATACTAAAAATTTTAGAAACATTAAAGATTTTTATATGCAATACGTAAATTGTGAAAAAGTAAAAATATTTAGTAAATGTGTTAGAAAAAAAGTATACGTTACGCTTTTATTTATGTAACGCTTAAGAGTTACATATATATCTATACTGGATCAATAACATTTACTTATAAAAAGATAAAACGAGTAAAACAATTTGATGAAACAATTTATTCAGTTGACTATTTCGCAACCAAAACCCAATCGACTATTTTGATTGCACGCGTCGCAAAGCGCGAAATATTCTCACAGGCATCGGCACTCGTTAAACGAGCGATTAAAATATTAAGCACTTTATCTGTGCAAAGTGAAGCAGAGGATGATTTTATTGCGGCGATGTATAGCCGCGAATGGCCGCAAAGTGAGTTAGAAGTTATCGTATTGGGAATGGAAAAATATTCGGACAAACATTCTGTAGACGCGTTCGCTATGAATATAGTTTATTTTATACATATATAGGACATACCATCGTTATCGAATATCGTTTCAACTGCAGGCTGACAAATTTGAAGTTGATTTGCCGTTAGCAAAATTTTTGATGGGAGTCTATCGTCAGCAAGTTTCCATTTTCAATACCTCGACAATTAAATATGAAAAACAATTTCTATTAACGTAACACGAAGACACAGATATTTGTAGCATGGGTTGTATATTTTTGGGATCAAAGTTCAAATTAATTGAATAATCTAGGTGTAAAAGAAAACGTAGCTAATTTTGAATATATTGTATATATATATATATGTGTATGCATTTGTACATATATACATGTAACCTTTCTCTGCGTGTATATACACTTTTCGACAGAATTTTTCGCAGAGAGCTCGCATTCCGGCCGAACGACGGGATTAACGCTGCATTTTGCGCAGCGCGGGCTGTATGCGAGGTATGTCGCCATGGATATTTTAGCACTTACAGCTGTGAGCGTGCCGCTCACGTAAAAGACTACTGGTGTGTTTGGCTACCCCTGAGTACATATTTGACCGTGCACGAGCTCGTCCGCTTTCGAAACTTACGCGGAGCTTTTCGCCGGCACGCAGTAATTTCGTGCGGATTATGCGTGTTTGAGGTCGTTCCCGTGGGACGTGCGCAACTCTCGCGTTCCTCCAACGCGCCATGCAGATCCGTCTGACGCTGGACAGAGCTTGCACGTGAGTGAAACACTGCGAGTTTCTTCTAATTTTATGCTTCGCGTGGATCGCACACGCAGCACCCTTGGCCAATATTTTCACTCTTAGAGGTTGATTAAAATCTGATACTCGGGTCAATATTTTCCATCCCGTCGGCGTTTTCACTCCCCACGGAAACGTATGAAACATTGCGCGTCCGACTTTAATTTATATTCTTTTCTAACGAGCGTGTACGCGGCCGTGCAATCTTCTTAGCGATTAAACAGAAGACCCAGAAATCCAGCTTTGATTTTAATTAGAAGCAAACGGATGCACGTAGCTTGCGATAATTTTAACTACATGGATGGAAGATTCTGCTAATGACTTGGAAACTAATATCCCTTTAATGGCATATAAAACACATGTATAATTGTTTTAAATTTTTGTAAATAAGACTTGTAAATAAGACTTGTTTACTCATATAGATAATAAATTTTTTTTTTCAAATTATAACTTTTTAGATATCATTTCAATTATCAAGCTGCATTAATAACTTGCTTGTTTTATTATACATTGTGGCGGCTCACCGCCACACCGCTGCACTGACGCGGTATAATACATCGCGGCGCCGCTACGCGCCGCAGGCCTTCTACCAGTTACAAGCTTGCGGACCCACCGCCAGGTTGCGCAGGCGGTGAAGAACCTTCTCGCGATCAAGCTTCGATCGACGAGATATAAAAGAGCTGCTCCGCAGATCTTTCCTCACTCACTCGCTTCAAGGCGAGCTCTCCCCAGGGCCCTTGAACTGAGTCGTACTCTGCCTCGGCAGAATCTAACAGAGACACATAGTCTCGCCGTTTTTCTCACACTGCCTCGCAAGGCGTGTAAAAAGAAAGCAGAGTCCCAGCATCGGCCACGCACTTCAACCAAGCGGCCCGCGGATACTCCACTTTCGCCGTCACCTCCTCAGTCTCTAGTGTGGAAATTAATCCCACTAGAGTTCTGCGTCCGGTTGACTCGACCACCAAGGGACACGCTCACTCAAGGCGACATCCGAATTCGGAGACCTCTCTCTCCTCGGTACACGGAGCAATCCGTAATTCCGAGAGCCGAGACGGTTGCCACCACCAGCACACCAGAGACTCGATCCATCGCAGTACAGACTTCACCGCTCAGAGCCTGCTCAGAGAGCAGTTGTCAGACGGAAGACCACTTCCCGAACGGAGTTCCACCGACGCCGGGAAAGGGCTGCAACGAGCTAACTCAGTTGAACCGTCCTTTTTAGGACCCGTTCAACACACTAAGACGCGGCCGGTAATTTCTTACCGCGCCCGTCAATTTTTCTTTTGATTCTCGGCCTTACACTCTTGCCGAGAAAGCGCCTCTGGCGCCCTTAATCAAATCAAACACAAAACTTGTACATTACTCTACTTCTCTGACGAGGAAAAATAAATATATTTTTCTAAGAAATTGGTCTCAATATCTTTCAACCAAGTCGAACACAATCCTTAGGCAATACGCCTATATACATATTTATTTTAAATACAGGCCACAGCAATAATATAAATTTCTAAGTATAAAAAAAATAATACCAGTATATTGCATTAAATAATGGTGGTTCGAGTACATATTTTTGAAATACTAATCGAAAAATCTTATTTTGAAGTATGTTTTCGAATGTGATTTTGAAAACGGAGGGCGGCCCGACAGAGGCGCGCGCGGGAGTCACTTCCGCTTTTTCACGTACACTTGGACGCACCGGGTGTATGTATGCTGCGGCGTTTTAGCGGGTGGTTAGCCACCTCGCCTGAGTTATACTTGTCATAGAACGCGGCTGGTTATATGAGCGGAAAGCATTACCGTTTCACACTGCGGACGCGACAGTTTGTTGCACTGTAAAATCGCTTGCATAAAGTTCGTCGGTTGAAATAGTGACTCGGCGTGCCGATTTGCCACTCGCGATTCTTTTCGCCTTTCCACTATAAATCACCGAACTTTAATAGTCATTGGCCCGCTGTACGGCTGACGGATCGAAAGTTCTGATCGATCGCACGATGGTATGTGCGGGGTAGTTAATTACACGCGACCTTGGAATGTCTCGTGACTAGCTCCGAGCCTCGTCGTTGCTCGTATCGCCGATCTATCTCCTCGTTACAAAATTCCAGACGTATCGAACGCACGAGCGGCAAGAGGAGAACATTCGCCATTTGCGGGATAAAACGAAGTTTACACAAAGCTGATCCGTTCACCGAACGGCAAATAAGGAAATTTCGGAGCGCCGTCCGGTGTAAGCCCCACGGGGAGGAAAAGCTTTTGCGATCTCGATGTTCGAGATGAGAGAAAAAAAAAAGTTTGGGAATTTCGCGAAACGATAGGAGAAAGTTAATATTAGTCGGCGCGGTTTAAAGCGATTTTCCGGCCGAGCGGCTGCTCTCATCTCAGTCTATAGAGTGCAGAAGAGGTTCTAAGGGAGAGAATAGGGAAGCAAAAGAAGAGGGTGTCTCTACTACAGCAGGAAGCTCTCCAGGGAGCCTGCAGCTCCCGTCGCCTTGTCTATCCCCTTTCGCGGACAAAGACGAGAGTGGGTTAACTAATCAAAGAAGCGACTAGGTTAACTAAACGAGAAGGTCTATCCCGACGAAGGTGAATCGAGCGGCGATTGGCAATCGCTTCCTCGGGATTGGTCACGTGCCAGCATCCGCGCGATGGCTCTTCGATTGGATTAATCGAGATTTATCGCGAAGTTCTAGAAGGGGAATTACAGCTTTAGCCGAAATATGTGGATATATGGGTGCGTTCATCGGTTGCGCTGTCGACAAAATCAAAATTCAAGTAATTAAAATAATAACACGTCAAAATTCACGAGTTAATTAAAACACTAATGACAATGGTAAGGCGAATAATCAATTAAATTGCCACTATTTGATGAATTGCTTTGATGTCAACAACGAAAAGTTAGCTGGAAAGTTAGCTGGCGTCTCTGCGAAAATTATAAAATGCGGTGGACCTTTGCGTGAACGCGTTAGCAATTAATAAAGCATGTTTCGAAACAGGAACAATAAATAGTTACAAATTTTCATAACAGTGCGTTTATAAATATTGTAGTTACAAGTTTTCATTATGCAGAGCGGAGCTAATTATGGAAACGGGCGACGCTTGCTGCAATTCCAACAACGCTGTAACAGCATACGTGACAAACTATAAATTAGTATTTTAGTTGATATTCAACTAGCCTCATAATTGTTTAGCGTTTAAATGTTATAATAAATTATAAAAAATCTCAAAATAACTAACTAATATGCGTAAACTTCAAGATACGCTAACTACCTATATTTTTATACAATATTTTACTAACATAATCTATGTATTTTTATCAACTCAATGCGAAGGTTTCTTCAGTATTTATAATTTAATATAAAAATTTATTAAAATTTACTATTATTTAAACTTGTAAGGGTTTGATTCAACTTACATTTCACGCCAAATTAGAGTAATCATCGTTAAAATACGTATCTGATCTTAAACAAAAAGGATGCATCGTTCTTGCAGTAGCTTTGCAAATCGCGTCAATCCGGACACTTTCGGTGATCCCGGCGTGATTTGTGGGTATCACAAATTGACCACGATTACGA